TTTAAACCTCCACTCAACTATATCAGGCAGGAATGATTATAATCTCCATTTCTCCATTGGTATCATCAGGTAAAGAGCAGGTCAGTGACTCCCCCCAGATCACAGAGCTGATCAGTGGAGGGGCAGAGACTTGAACCCAGTATGCCCAGCGCATGCCGATCTGCAGACGCTGGAGCCAGATAAAGCCCCGGGATGGGGTGGTTTAGCTGGAATGTGAAGCATTTCTTCCCTATCTCCACCCCCAGCCCTGAGTTGGGAGCCATGCATGACACCATTTATTCAATTATTCCTTCACCTCCTACAAGAGGCCTGACTCTGTGCTAGGCACTAGGGATTCAGCAGAGGAGAGGAGAGGCTGGGTCCTACGCCCACGGACACTGGCATGGGGTGAAGCAGGCAGGAGTCAGGACAGGGGCATGAGGATGGACACTAGAGCCAAAGCTCTCCTCTCACAGGTTTTGTTTCTGCCAGGTAAAACTGGTTTTCAGACTCCTAACCTTCAGAGCAGGCAGGTGTCCTTTCCACTCCATTCACAGCAATCCTCTACCCTGATCGGTGGCCTTGGATAGGTCCTGTAATGGTCACACAGGCCAGAAGCAAGTGTAAACAAGGCAGCTTCTCTTCCTGCAACCGGGCATGACAACCGGGCTTGACATGGGTACAGAATTAGGATCTGGGCCTAGTTACAACCACATTCTTACACCTGCCTGGGCCACCTCTCTGTTTCAACATCCATTAGCTCAACAAATATTGATTAAGCTCTTATATGGGAAAAAAAAAAAAAAAAAATCAGGGCAGCCACCTGTGAAAATACACATTAAACCAGAGCCTCCAGAATTTAAGGAGAAAGAATAAAATTTAACAGCAGAGCTGCCATTTTACATATCTTCTCCCGTCAACCCAGCAGAGTGTGTGTATGTGAGGGGGTTCTTAACTCCTTTTTATAAGTAAGGAATGGAAGGCTGACAGAGGTTAAGTAACTTGCCCAAAGTCACGAGCCTGAAAGTGATGAGGCAGGATACTACTCAAAATCGATGTCTCTCTAGCCCATCTGATACCCACACACACGTACACATAAAGGCATGAGCAAGATCCACATAAGGGAATAAACTGGGCACTCTGGTCAACCCAGAAAGATGGGCGTTCAGACCTGCTGCCCCTAGGAAAGGTGGCTTTGGAGCTCAGCCTCGAAGGTCAGGAAGACTGCGAAAACCAGTTAACTCCTCTAATCCACTGCATTTTGTGTCTGGAGCCAGGGAGCCCAGCCTGGTGAACTCTGCACTGAAGCATTCTTTGAAAAAGGGACAAGCCAAGGCCAACCCACTGCAGACTCTTGAGTCATGCCTTCTACCTGCACAGACTTCTACCTACAGCTGCATCAGACATCACCATTCACCAGGGAAGTGCTTCCTACCACATCATTTAATCTGATCCCTGTAAGAGCCCTGGTGGGGGGCGGGGTAGCAGGGCAGGAATACAGCCCCTTTAGAGAGGAGAAAACAGAATGGAGATGTCACAAGAACAGACACCTCATCTGTCTTGTCCAGAGCTCTATCCCCAGCCCCTCAAACCATGCCTGGCAAAGAGCAGGTGCTCCAAAAGTATTTGTTGAATGATCTAATAAAAGCTCAGATAAGTGAAATGACTGCCCAGCTCTCACAAATAGTTGTTTGTACCAGGGCTAAAAACAGGATCTTCTGCCTCCCACCCAGTGGCCTTTGTACCCATCCCACTGCACTGTGTCCTCCTCCTTCCCCCTACTCACTCTCCTGCCTCCACCTGGAATGGTCAGACTGTCCATTTGTCAGCTCTGGTCTCACTCAATTTTTGCCTCCCAGGGTTGGCAGGGAGGGCATCAAAAGTAATGAGTTACTCTAAGTCTGATGCTCCACAGGTAATACTACATCTTTATGTCCTGCTGAGAACTAGGTAAAATTTATAAATGAGGAAACTGAGGGCCATGCATGGTAACAGAGAATTCGTGACAGAAAAAAAAAAAACTTTAGACCAGATTTTCAGAGTCAGGCCAGCAGACTGTGACGTGTATCACCATCCCCTCCACCAACCCCACCAAAGCAGGTATTGGCTCCCCTTGGTCCAGAGATCCTGGCAGGTTCTGGATGCCAGGCCTTGGCCCAGCTTTCCTGCCTCCCTCACCAACAAGGGACAAGTGAGGGGAAGCTGCGTACCCCAAACATGGCTGCATCCCAGCCTCAGCACACACCAGCCCGGGACTCTGGGCTGGTTACTTCCCCCTCTGCCCCTCATTTCCTCATCCTCTTGTGTGCCTAGTTCACAGAGTTGTTGGGAGTAACAACTGAAACAATATATGTGACAAGATCAGAACAATGCCTGGCACATATCAGCCAATGCCAGCTCTTAGAACTGTTGGGTTTGCCCTGTGGATTACCAAATTTCCCAAATGACCCTGTTCCCACCTGTCTCCCCAGAGGCCTGGTGCACACCCACACCACCCAGACCAGAGCTTTATGAATATATATGAAGAGAGAGACTATCATTTTTCTGCCTAACTACATTTAACATTCATTCATTCACTTGAGAATACTGAATACTATGTACAGGTCCAGTGCTCCGTGCTGCGGAGATAGGACTTTCTGCCCCCCAGGAACCTAGTCCTCCCACATTTCTTAGACGGGCCTAATTCCTAATTCTTGGACAGTCCTGTCACTCTAACCCTTCCCGGGCACACAGTAAGTGCTCAGTACTCCGCATGGAAGATGCCAAGACATCCACCACCCTAATCCCACTGCTCTTGTCCAATTCAAAATCTATTCTCAAGAAGGCTTCACCCTGAAATTTTAAAAAGAGTCCCTCTGCCTTGTCCCCAGCGGAATATCTCAATTACCCTCTCCACTCTCACTCCAACAGCCCAATTGTCTCAGGAAATAAGTGGGCGAGTGGGGGGTCTGTCACAGCTCTCCCCCAGCTCTTCAAGAGGGGGGCCCACAGGAAGAGGAAGAGGGGTGTTTAAGCAACTGCCGCATTTCAAAGAAGTCAGCTCAAAGCCGGGAGACCTTTCAATGTCGTGGTATAGGGCTGGGCCCAGCAGAAACTGGCCTGGGTCTCAGGTCGCCAGGCTTTAAGGAAGCTCTTTGTGCGTGTGTTTTAAATTACCTCTGCTTGTCTGATGAAGTGAGTAAAAGGGCTTAGGATTCCTGAGTGAGCTAATACAGGATGCCTTTGGCTGAAAAAAACTTCAGTCGGCTCCCTAAACTCCCCCCCCCTCCCGCCCGCTTTTAAGTTTAAAAAAGGGAATGAATGTTACCATTTTTGGACATGAGCGTTCTCCCTCAAGCCCAGCCCTAACCGCACTATCCAGAGGGACGCGCGCCATCCTGTTCCCCCCCCATTCCCAGATCAGCCCGGGGTGGGGAGGGCGAGGAGGGATGAAACGAGGAGGGACCGGATGGGAGCGGGCAGCGGGGGAGGAGGCAGAGGGGGTGTTCAGGGTACGTGGCCGCCTGGGGCAAGAGCTCACCGCGCAGGCAGGAAGCAAAGGCAGGGTTGGGGCGCCCTCCCCCCACCAAAAGAGTGGTTTCTGACCTCTTCCTGCCACCGGCCACTGTGCCGGAGTCCCATTGCCGGTGGCGGAGTGAGCACCCGGTACACGGAGCCTGGGACGCGGCTTGGTGGCTAAGCAGGGATCCCCAATGAGTGACCCCAAATACCCACGGAGACAATCCCCTGCCCTGAAGCCTCTCAACTCAGATCAAGTTGCCCAAATTCGCCTTCTCCCAGGAATGAGTAGGGGGTCAGAAGGGCAGGACGTAGACGCATTCCCACCTCCGCTTGCAGCTACCAACCTGAGTTAATCAATAAAACGCTTTGCTGTCCTGACCCCGCCCCCACACGGCCCGCTGGGGAGCCTGCATATATCCCTGGGTTTTCTCGGCCCAAACCCCATTCTAGCAGGTCCACCTCCAGGCTGACCCAGAGGCGACTGCCAACCCCTCCGGCGCCCGCTTTTCCCTTGGTGTGCGGGCTGGGAGGCGCAGTCCTATGCAGCTTGCCCCTCCAGGTACCTAGCCCAGGGCGACCAGGAAGGGCGCTGCCACCGCACGCCATCTGGAGAGGCGGCCAGGGGGCGGAGAAGGGAAGGGAAAATCGATCCCGAGCAGCAGCCACGGAGCCTGGGGTTCAGTCACAACCTCAGGAGCACCGCCCCCGCGCCCTGCCCACGCGGGGACGGTGCGGCAGCAGCCGGGTGGCCTGGATCACCGGCCCCAAGAAGACCTGCCCGCCGGCTGCCCCACCTCCCCGCCCTCAGGCTGCACGTTCGCGGGCTCCAGAGCAGGGGCGCTCCGCCTTCCGCCCCGCGCCTGTAACCCAACACCCCACCTAGCAGCGGCCGCGCATCCCCCGCCCCCGCTTGTGCGCGCCTGGAACCCGTTCCGAGTCCCGAGCAGCTAGAGCAGCAGGCCGAGCTGGCCGGAATGGGGGTCTGCGGCGGGCTGGGATGGCTGCTGACCTTTCTCTGCTGCTTCTCCCAGGCCGGGTCCAGTAGCAGGTCTCGATCCCAGTCCTCTTCGGGCTGCATGTAGTCGTTGGTTTGCTGGGAATCATAATGGTCCATGATGGTGCGCGCGTGCTAGGGGCTGGATTTCTTCCTCCACCTTCTCTCCTGGCGGCAGCGGCTGCCTCGGCGTGGGGAGGGAGTCGGGCTGGGCTGGGTTGGACTGGCGGGGCCGGGCTAGTTCCCCTGCGCCCGGTTCCGCCGCGGCGCTGCTTGCGAAGGTGGCTGCTGGCGGCGGCGGCGGCTTGAGCTCGCGAACTGCCTGCCTCGGGGCGGGCGCTCGGACCTAATCTCCACGCACACTGAGCGGGGCGGACACACTAGCGCTGCGGGAGCCAGGCGGCGGGGGCGGGGGGAAGGGGCAGAGCCCTCCCGAGGTTCTCCATTGGCCAGGTCGAGTTGCCCAAACTTCCCCCCATCGCCTCTCATTGGGAATTCCTGGCATCCGTCAGCCGGGCCGCGGCGCATATAGGTGGACTGGGCGGCCCCCTCCCAGCGCGCGCGCCTCCGCCCACTCCCCGGGTTCCCACTCCCTCGCGGCTCATGTGACACCAGCTTAAGCTGAACGGGACCGAGCCGGGGGACGCCTCCCCGAGCTCAGGGACCGAGTGGCAGCGCGCTCCGCAACCCCAGGAGCCGCCGGGGATTGGACACGCTCCCCGCCCGCGGGAAGGCCCCGAACTCCTGCGCGCCGGCTTCATTGCTCTCCCAAAAGCGCTCCGGTACCAGGCGGCCAGGGGCAGGAGAAGGGACGCGAGGAAATCCGAAAAATATTTCATTTTCTCTTTCCCAGGGTTCGAAGAGGCCGGTACCCAAGGAAAGGGGCGGGGAATGCGGGAATGGAAAGGAATTTCCTGGGAATTTCCTGAGTCCACCGCCCTCACCGCCTCAGCCCCGCCAGCATCTACTGGCCAACCCCTGTCCTCCAGGAGCCAGGTTTCTTACCAGCCATCAGCGCTCTGAGGCCACAGAGCTTTCCCGCCTCGCCGCAGTGTCTTTTTTGGCCAGACCTCGGGCTCTGGGGACTGCTCCGTTGTGGGGCTTCCCACGTGGTGGCTACGACGCCCAGCTTCCCGGGATCACCTGCGGGTCCCCGCGGGCTGGCGGGGTTGGACCTACCCTCAGACACACCCGGGCAGCATCCTGAAAACTGGGAGAGGGGGCCCTGAGTGATCTACCTACTCCACGCCTCCCCGCTCCGCTCATTACACACACCTGACAGGTGAGGAGACAGTGCGGTTCAAGGAGTTGAGCTTGGAAAGGGATTTAGCAGGTTCCACAGGTCATACCCTTAACCTTATGCCGACAAGGTTTATTATTATTGGAGGAGGAAGGAGGGCAAGATTGACTAAAAACCTCCAACTTCTTAGTGCCTGTCTGGGCTTCCTTCCTCAGACCTAGTTAGTAAGAGGGTCTAAACACCTTCCCCAGGAGTGATAGACACCTAGAAGAGGCAGGCCTCACAACCTGGTGGGCTCCCCTGAGGGATCCTGAGACTGAAGAACAGCTGTAAGTAGACCTCCAATAGCTTATGCACATAGTAGTGCTTAATTTATATTTGGCCCTGTGGGATGGCTGAGTCGACTGCAAAAAGGCAAGTGTGGGAGTCCAGAGGTAAGTGAAGGAGCTGAAGGGAAAAGTTCACTGACAGGAAGGGCCGTGAATTAGGATACTTGAAAGGCCACAGATGGAAAAGGTGAAGGTAGTGGCTCTGACTCTCAGAAGAGCCAGCTGCTGCTGTTGTAAGCAGATATCCACGGTGGTGTCATTCTGTGCATCATTAGTAGACCTCACACGCTTATGCAAGTGCTCCCAGTCAGCCCTGTGACCACCACAAGTCCCTGGCTGAGGAAGCACTGCTTCTGAGCCACAGAGACAGCAGATTTATGGACTATTTTATAACCATTTCTAAACTATGGCTCTAAACCTAACATAAAGGGTAATGATGGTACTATATCCATTCATTCACTCAATAAATATTTCCCGAGCACCGTCTGCGTGTCAGGGGATGTGCTAGATATTATGTATATAGAGATGAGAAAGCAATGTCTGCCCCCATGCAGCCCAGCAGAGACAGGTACAGAAACAGAAATATTCTGCAATGAGATGTAATGAGATAGATATGCCCAGGGGACTGAGGGCACAAAGGAGAAGCATTCAACCCAACATGGGAAAGGAATCTCCAGGTATAATTTTTTGGAAGTAAAATTCAAGTGAGCCTTTAAGAACAAGAGTCAGCCAGATAAAGAGTGTGGGAAGTTATCCCAGGCAGAAGAAACAGTGTGAGTTAATACATGGGGGCAGGAAACTGCTTGGTGTAAAAGGAATGCCTAGCATTTCGGTGTGGCTAGACTAGAAATTCAAGGCTGGGAGGAGCAAGAGATGGGACTGAAGAGGTGGGAAGCGGCCAGACCATGAAGGCCTTGTGTGCCGTGTGAGGGGAACAAGGCTGGCTAGAAACTGGGACAATCAATTGCAAAGCTGTTGCAATAATCCAGATAGAAATGGGGTCTTAGTCCATTTGGGCTACAATAACAAAATACCATAGACTGGGTGACTTAAACCAAGGGTCCCCAAACCCCAGGCTGCGGACGGTACCAGTCAGTGGCCTGTTAGGAACCGGGCCACACAGCAGGAGGTGAGCGGCTGGCAGGCTAGCGAGCAAAGCTTCATCTCTATTTGCAGCCGCTCCCCAGTGCTAGCATCACTGCCTCAGCTCCACCTCAGATCAGCAGGCCAAAAAGGTTAGTGAACAATAAACATTTATTTCTTATAGTTCTTGAGGCTGGGAAGTCCAAGAGCAGATTCAGTGTCTGGTGAGAGCCTGTTTCCTCGTTCACAGATGGCCAGCTTCTCACTGTGTCCTCCTGTGGTAGAAGGGGTAGGAAGCTCTCTGGAGTCTCTTCTAAAAGGACACTAATCCCATTCATGAGGGCTCTGCTCCCATGACGTAATCACTCTCTTAATACCATCACATCAGGGGTTAGGATTTCAACATATAAATTCAAGAAGGACATGAACATTGAGTCTATAGCAAATGGAGAAGAGTGGATAGAAATAATTAGGAGATAAAACTTAAGAGGCCTAGGAGTTTGGGTGGAAGGATGAGAAAGCGGAATCCGTTGCTCTCAACCAAAGTCCAATATGGAACAGACCATGCACTTCACCTATATTATCCTGTTTAAGCTCCACATACGAGGTGAGAATTGCCTCCATCTTACAGAGAAAACCAAGTAAGTCTCCAAGAGGTAGCTTACTAGTTCAAAGTTACACAGATAATGTGACTCCTAAACCCATGCTATTACCCCAGTGGTTCTCAACCCTAAATTAGTTTGACAGCCTCCTCCCGGGGGATATTTGGCAATGTGTGGAGACGTTTTTGGTTGTCACAGTTGATAGGTTACTACCATTGGCATCCAGTGGCTAGAGACCAGGGATGCTGCTGAACATCCTACAATGGACAGGACAGTCTCCCCACAACAAAGAATGATCCAGCCCAAAATACCAATAGTGCCGAGGTTGAGAACTCCTGCTTTAACCATGGTTTCTAGTTTGAACTTCTGGTAAGCGGAGGAAGTACAACCAATTGAGATAAAGAATTTCAGTTTTGGGAGTGGAATCTGACTTGAAGTGCTCTGAGACTATCCAGATTCAGCTGTACAGCAAGCAGTTTACTGAGTAATCCTCACCTCAGGAAACAAAGATTTGAGAGTTACCTGCTTATAGGTGGTCATTACCACCATGAGACCATCCATGAATAATGCCTAAGTGGAGCTGAGCAAGGGAAGAACCTGGAAAAGCATCACTTAGAAAGGGAGTGTAAAGAACCAAAACCCCTGAGAAAGACAGGAAATGGTCAGTGGAACATGGAAAGCCTAGACCATGTGGTGTCACGAAAGCCAAAGAATGGAAGTTTCAAAGTGAGAGGAATCAGCAACATCAGATACATCAGAAAAGTCTGGAAAGTAAGGCCTAAAAGGTGTTCTTTGGATGTAACAGCTGAAAATTCCTTGGTGCTTTAAATGAAGACAGTGAACACAGAAAGGAAAAAAATATTGGGCAGTAGCTAGAGGGGAACTAGAGCCAAAGGAGGAATTATTTTTAAGAATAGGAGAAACTTGAGTTGTTTGTAGTCAGAGAGGAAGGATTCAGTTGAGCAGAAAGGATTGAAAATGTAAGCTAAAGAAAGTTGACGGATGGCACAAAGTTCTTGCAGAGACAGGCCCAGGTGAGTTCAAGGACACAGGCTAAAAGATGGATCAATAAGAAGAGGAAAAACCTTATGTTCTGAGAGAGTGGAGGGAAAGTAAGGATGCATGAGGATGTCCATTAGTGTACGGGAAGTGGGTGAGAGAGTGGGTTGAAACAATAACTGATGATCTTATCTTCTCAGTAGGGAGGAGACACTGAGACATGGACCCAAGGTGATGAATTGACTAATCTTTCGATCCAGGACTCACTGATGGCCATCCCCCTGGCAACACTGTCCTATTTAATACCATCTTCTGTAAAGAAAACAGAGTTACTAAATTGTTGATTTTTTAGGGATGCCAACATGTATGCATATTTATAACATCCATCAGTCTTTTAAATTGGAGTAACACAGTAAAATGCATGAATCAAGTGCACTAATCTTAAGCATAAAGCTCGGGGAAATTTTACACATGCCTACACCCATAGAAAACATTTCTAGCACCTCAGGTTTTCTCATGCCCCTTCCTAATCTGTACTCCCACGCCACATAGGAAACCCGTATTCTGACTTCTTATCACCAATGATTATTTTTAGTTATTTTTGAACTTTATACAAATGGAATTATACAATATATACACTTCGATTTCTGGATTTTTTGCTCAATTTAATATCTATGAGATTTGGTATTAGTAGCTAATTTTTTTGTTTGTTTTTCCCTCTGTAGTAGTCCATCGATACATATATCGTAAGTAATTTATCCACTCTCCTATGGGTAGGGATTTGCATTGTTTCCAGTTTGAAGCTACTACAAATAAAGCTGCCATAAACATTTTTATGCGTGATTTTAGTGAACATATGTATTCATCTCTCTTGAGTATACACCTAGGAATAGAATTGTTGTGTCATATGGTAGATATGTTTCACTTCAGTAGATATTGCCAAACAGTTTTTCAAACTGGCTGTAACAATTTACTCTCCAAGCAACAGGGTATAAGAATTTCGGTTGCTCTACATTCTCCACCACCCCATAATTTTTTTTTTTAAATTTTAGCCATTAAGATAGGTGAATAGTGGCCTCTTTTGAAAGGTTTAATATTTTCATATACTCATTGATCATTCAAATAAATAACTTCCATTCTTATTGCCATTGATTCTGATAGCAACTGATTCTCAATTTATTAGCTGCTTGAGAAAAGGGATGATGGCATGGGTGCTTTATTAATTTCCCCAAATTTAATTAATTCAACAAATATTTATCAAGCAACTGTCCTATGCCCAGCACCATGCTGGAGAGTAAAGATGCACAAACAGACAAGACAGATGTAGGTCTCCCCCTCTTAGAACAGATGTCAGATGCTCGACAGATATTCCATGAACAATTGTTTGGGGAGGCTGTTTGGTTTGCTTTAGTGGGAAGCTGGAGCAGGTCTAGTTTATATGACTTTTTCAATTAAAAAAAGTTTAAGAAAAACACATTAAAAAAAAAAAAAATTCCCTGGGATCATGTGGGCTGCTAAAGCAGAGTGAGGTACAATCCTGAGGGAAAATGGGAGGATTGCTCTGGGAACAATCCTGATTCCTTTCTTCCCAGAGGATCAGCTTTTGTTGCCCTTTTTTTTATCCATCCTTTGAGTTTCTCAAGGAACTAAGATTGTTGGCAGTTTTTGCCATTCTACTGGCCAGTGAGTGTTAACGGAGACTCAAGCAGTTTGTTCAGGTCAGTGACAGGAAAGAGAACACTAAAGACCCTTCCACCAGCCGGGCCTTTCTCTGAAAGCTGTTCAAAAAAAATGGAGAATTCCTGACTCATCAGCAGCAGCTCAGAGACTCTAGCCCAATCCATTACCAGCACTCCAGGCTGGGTGAGATGAGTCACCCAGAAAGCCACAGGTGCTTTGCTGTTAAAAGAACCTACTTCTGGAATGGGTGACCAACTTCCCTGGGAAAGAACGAGGAATTATTACGTCTATGAGTTCTGGGAGTACTTATCGAGCACCTTCTCTAGGCCAGGCAGAATGCAAGGAGACCCAAAGAAGAGCCCCGGTCCTCCCATACCTCCTCATCTTGCTGGACCAAACCATGGGCTTCCTCCCCTAGAATTTCTCCACCCCACAGGTAGTTACCGACATGCACAGTCTGAAGAAATAGAAATGAATTGGACTGCTGTATAATGATGTAAAGAATGTAAAGTGCCAGCCCAGTGCCGGCATGCAGAAGGCCACCTCAATGCTCATAAGGTCCTTTTTCTTACCTTACTATGTGAAAGTGCCCACGCAGGTCTTTGCGGGGAAACACAAACAAGCAGGATCTGCAAGATTCTGGAAACTAAAGGCACAATGGACATCGCAGCCCAGAGATCTGGGGATTTCCTTCGTTGCGCCTTAACCTCTAACCTTATAGCCTAATGGGAATAGTCTCCCTACAGGCTCTTCCTAAGACCTCAGGCAGCAGTATTTGTACAACGCTGGAAAGAGGGAGAGACAATCACTATGGTTTCTTGGGTCTCTAGCTCAGAAGGCCATAGACCTCAGTTTTGTTCCCAGTCCCCACAGCAATCGCTTCCCCCCATACTCCTATAGCACACCATTTATAATTAAGATAGAATTCTCTGCTTTATTGTCATCGTTTGTCCACATTTTCTCTCCTACTGTCCCTATATGGTCTCACCTCGCTTTTTTCCTCCATATAACCTAACACAGGGCCTAGGATGTAATAGGTGATCCAGTTGGATCTTTGCTGAACCAAAAATGGCAGTAGTCAAATTCTAACTCTGTGCCTCAGTTTTCCCATCAACCCATGGAAGATCTTGGGAAGCCAGTCCTTTGCCACAGTCCACACGAATATTCCTAAGCCCTCTGACCTCCCAAGAAACCAGTGCTGGAGAAATTGCCTTGGCCATCTCCCTCTTATGCCAGCCAGCAGTTCGGCCCCCTCCAGGCCTAAGTTCTCAGAACCAGGGGAAGGCTGTTTGCTTCTGGGCCAGTTCCTGCCCTTTCCCACACAGACCAAGGGGAGGAAAGAGGACAGTAAGTAGTTTCCTTCTTGCAAGACCTCTAATAAAAGACTGGCTTGGAGGAGGCAGGTAAGTGTCTTTGGTTCTCATACTCTGCCCAGCTCTCAGGTCTTCTGTCTCAGGTGGTGGGACACCTGGCCTGTCTGGTGTCCTCTTTTGCATCTTTTTGCATATCTCTCTCCCCCAGATTCTATGGGTCGAATCCAAGCAGGGCCCTCAGAACTCTCCACCTCAGATAGTTGCCCTGAGGTCAGCTCTGTGAGCAAGAGATAGTCATGGCTGATAGCTGCCCAACCTAAAGCCTCCAAGGAGGGCAGGGAGCTCTCCCCCAGCTATCTCCAGTTTCCAGCAAATACCAGAGCAAAACACCCAAGTTGCAGCTGGAAAATTCCTGTTGAGTAGGACAATCACCTCCCCGCCCCAACCCCACCTTGGTGGAAGCTGGCAGGCAGATTCCAGGCTTGGGGAGTGAGTTGCAGGGAAGTCTGATTAATCCTACCTTCCCCGCTCTTAACAACCTAGTCCCACTGGTCTTCCACAGAAGCTCAATCCTAGAGGCCTGCCCAGGTCACTTCTATGGACATATGGGATAGCTGTTGGGAGCAGGAGTCCTTATCTGGGTGACAGAGAAAGAGCACTGGTGTGAGGAGATCTGAGTTCCCTGGGGCTCAGTTTCTTCATCTATAAAATGGGAGAGCTGGACTTATCAGATGGTCTTTCAGCTCGGGGCCCTGTTCTAACTTGTTCTCAGGCTCCTCCTTTCTCTCTCCAATGACTAGAGGGTTTGAATCTTCTGAAACAGTGTTTCTCAACCTTGAATACTAAGAAAGTTCCTTTAAAAATGATACAAATTCTCATAAAGTTACTTAATTTTTGCTTTAGTGTTCTTTAAATATGCACAGACATAAAACTAGGTACAAACTTCTTAAGGTTTTAGGTTGACAACAATAAAATCAAAACAAGCTTACAAATTCCATCTAAAAGAAACTATAAAACCAGTAAGATTCAAACTAGCCGTGTTAATTTAAATGTGACTGTTGCAATTTGCCAAAACTAAACCGCTACTCCCAGCATGATTTAAGTTCTGACTGTGATAGAGCAGGTGGCTCTTCTGAGCTCAGGATGCCTGTTATTACCATGTGCCAGGCGATGACTCAATTCTACTACTCTATTTGAACCACTGCATCAGGGCACCATTTAACCTTCATTTAGTGGGAACACACTGTGATGCATTCATTTCCCCTCTGCTGTTTTCTCATTAGCACCCAACAATTAAAAAGTTAAAAACTTTTTTTCTTTTTAATGTTTTTGCCAACAAGATCCTTCTCTCCAGTTTCCATGTCCTTATCTATCAGAGAAGGAGAATGACCTACATCTACCTACTCCACAGGATGGCTGTGGACATTCATTCATTCATCCAAACATTGTTTATTTAGTACCTACTATGTGCCAGACACCGTTCTGGGAACAGAGCATGTAGCAGTGACCAGAATGGACAATAATTCCTGTCCTGTGACACTTACATTCCAATAAGAGAGACTGTTTGTTAATAAGATAAATAAAGAAAATAATATGACAGCGTTTAGGGGAAAAGTTAAGCAAGGAAGGGGAATAGAGAGTATGGGGACCCAATATGTGGGTTTTCCAACATCACCATGAACTTCTCTGACACCAGCTGGGTGTCCAACAATTCAGCTCAATTCTGATACTATCTACTGAGAGATAGCATCAGATTCCACAGGTTAAGGGCTCGATCTTATAAGACCTCGGACATCAATTGAAAGTTTAGGTTGTTACCTGTGCTTCTGACTGGCCAACTATAGACAGGAGGTTCACACCACCCGCTTCTTGGGTTTGATTAATTAGCTAAGCAGCTCACAAAACTCAGATAAAGATTTTACTTACTAGATTACTGATTTATTATAAAAGGATATAATTCAGGAACAGAAGGATGGAAGAGATGCATAGGGTCAGGGGGATGAGAATGAAAGGTTCAACCCTACAATCACATGGATGGCTCCCCTGGCAACCAGCCCCCATCCTTATGTTCTTTTCAAAAGTCACCTCATTACCATAAACTCAGGTGTGATTGAAAGGCGTTCACTTATCATTTAGCAAATTCCAAGGTTTTTAAAAACTCTGTGCCAGAAATGGGCACAAAGACCAAATAAATATTCCTTATTAAAATCATAATATCGCAGGGATGAAGTAGAAGGGGGTTACATTTTTTTAATGGGGTGTTCAGGGGAGGCTTCATTAAGAAGGTAATATTTAAGACTTAAATAGATAAAGAAGCAAAAGCATTAAAGGAATAGCCAGGAGGTCAGGGGGCTAGAGTGGAATATGCACATGAGACACTCATGGAAAAATAAATACAAATGTTTGTTTAAGAGATATCCATTGTTTCACTGCCAGGCAACCATTTCCCCTCCTAGCAACTGTACCCTGATTTTCCCCTGGGAGGCACCTCCCCTACCCCAGTCTCTGTGCTGCAGGTAGAGTTGATCCCACCCCTAACCATCAGGGCTGGGCAAATGATGAGCCTGGCCAATCAGAGCACAACAATTAGTTAGGAATGGGCATGGGACCCAATCAGAATGAATGACACACAATGAGACTCTCGCAGGCACTCCTGGGAGAAAGGCACACTATCTTTTTTACCCTTGGAGATCTCAGTAGTAAGGATGATATGAGCCTGCAGCTTTCAGGAGCCACCATATGGAACCCGAGAAAAAAGACAGTGCAGAGGAAAACAGATCTAAGTAAAGAGAAGTAAAGAGAAATTGAGTCCTGGTGACATTTATGACCTTGATCGCCTGCAT